ATAATGAAGTATAACCCCCGAAAAGGTCTAATAAACACGACCAAATAATTCGTAATGGCACATAAAAACACCATAAAGGTATAAAACATCGAGCGAAAAAAATATGAAGGCGCCGCACCCCAGAGACCCCGCGCCCGCAGAGCCACCGCTAAATATTTCTAAGAGAAACGTCGTCGCTTTAAGAATAGCTTAAGCGGCTAATAGTTTTATGACACGCATGTCACTGCTTCGAGCGTCATCAGAAGCATCATTCAATAATGAGCTCTATAACTTCGGTGTCAGGGTGTAAAATTATTTGTAGCCACGGAAATGACAGTCGCAGGGTATAGCGGCATTAGACAGGGGTGCCATCGAGTTAGTGATGTAGTGAAATCGTTGCTAGGTGAGGGCTGCGGGGAGAACGCTGAGGGTCGCGGGAGGGGCTGGGCGTGTCCGGGATAACGAAATAAAACGCTCCGGGCTCATATGCGACCGTGCGAACTCGGCTTAACGCAATAAACATTTTAATTTGGGCACGAAACTCACGCTGAGATGCAAAATTACGGTGTGAGAGGGCGTCTCGCGCCAGAAATCAAATTACGAGGAAATTTCGTGCAGCGATGTTTTTCATGTTGGGAGAAATAGACCGGGACCAATGTAGGTACCTACTTGTTTACAACATTAAAACAAAATTAATCTAACTAATGTTCATTTGAATATGAAAAACAATTCCTAATTCTAGTATCTTTTTATCAATTTACTAATGAATTCGATAAAGCAAAGAAAGAACAAGGATAAAATTACTAGAGTTTATAAAAAAACAGGGCGTTTATGTTTAAATATCATTCATTCATGTGTATTTCACAAGAAGTTTCTAGATAACTTTGCTTTGCTATTCATAGTTTGTTGCCTCAGTAAAGCAATATCAAGGTAAATCTGTTATCTGGGGTAGCACAATTAGATCAGTTTGACCGGCGACGGCTCACGGCGGCCGGAAATAGGCGGAAGTGAGCGGCGCCGGCACATATCACACGGCTCGAGTCAAACGGCTCCGAAGCGGTTTACCGACATTTACTCGTTCAGTTACTCAAGTCCACTCACTCATGAGTTGAGTCACTAAAGTCACTCTTTACTAATGAAGATTTCTCTTACGTCGAGTATTATTAAAAAAAATTCTATATTCAAAATTCCTGGTAACATCATCGAAACCTAATTAAAGCTTTCGAGTTCCCTGATCATTTTTTAATATGGTTAGATCGATTATAAACTGATGGAGATCCCAAGTATCAGTAACAGAATACGATGAAATTGACGTAATTTGTGACGTAGGTGGCAAAAGTTAATAGTCACTTCACAGGCTCTTACCGCCCTCTGTTGGCTTTGCGAGACCACTTCAAGTGTGTTCGTAACGATTTTGAGAATAGCGGTTATGAATTTACGCTCAGTTTTGTGACATCATGTAAAATAAAATACGAAAGAATTCTAATCAATGGACTCTATTTAGATAGTTTTAATTTTTAAAATCATACTTCGTAATATAAACGCGTTTTTCATGCTATTAATAGCTACCAGGATCTTTTATTATTGAATTTGCACACAAAATACATTCAGCAGTCACGCTTTGATAATAGATATTTCTAATACGTATTGTCCATTTGACTGTATCGTGTTTATATCTATAAACTGTATCACAATATTTCGACCGCACGCAGACTAGCGACGGCCCGCGGCGTCACTCGCCGACAGCGCTCAATGCGCATTGTGCAAACCATTCTACATGGAAACCATTATGCATTGTAAACGATTCAACTCTAGTCATGATAGTCCAATGAGTTAAATGGCAAAAAACTGTATTCATGTGAGTTATGAATTCTTGATCTTTGGAATTTGAGTATGTGCAAAGTACTAAATTTTAAAAATCTAACTATACGTCTGTTGTTTTGTAGATTACAAAATTTCTGTTCGTAGGAGTGTAAGTACTAGGAGTACATAAATCTAGTACGTAGGCCGTCGATTACTTGAAACAGTCCGTGGGTGTGGGGCTCGCTCATGCAATCGCCCAAACCGTATCGAATGCATTGCCCTCGCCTCTCGCGCGCACAATGGCCATTTCACAGCGCCGATACGACGACAAATCAAAATAAATTACCGATTTCGTCATTCGACATTCGTTCCGATATAATTTCCTCACTTCGTGCTTGAAGATCGCATCGCTTGGTGCTGCGAATTGCTTCTATTATGCAGCTACGCGAATAACTATTAAGAAATCTAAGTTACTGATATCAAGGAAATGGAATGACTATGATGATATCAACCGTTACTCTTTTAATGCGAAATTGAAGTATTGTCTTTTATAGAAGAAGAAAACAATTGTTAAGTTCGTTGGTTATTCAAGTGGATTGAACGAACTGTGTTATCTATAAATCTATAAATAGATGCTGATATTAGGAAGAAAAAGGGTTTTTTGTTATGTAAAAAATTCATGAACTACAGGAAAATTTTTGGAAATGTTTATAAGATTGTTCAAAATACATAGGTATCATCATCCACTTTTCCTTATCCGTTACGGAGGGTCGGCACAGTATGTGCTGCTCTTCCATACATCTCTATCAGCCGTCATATCTGAAATCACTCCTTCCTTAAGCATATCCTTCTTCACACAATCCATCGATACTTTCTTCGGCCTTCCTCTACCTTTGTAGCCATCCACATTCATTGTTCACACTTTCTATACAAATGTAAATGTAATGAAATGTAATTTTAAAATATTTACAAAGACTATGTTTATTCCTAAAAAATATTGAATTGTAAGTCGTTTTTTAATGGAATTACAGATAGATACATTATACATATGTATATATTTAGAAGAAGCAAAAACAAGGGAGCAGGAGTTCATTTAAACAATGTTATCAAGACTAAGAAAATTAGTAAGTATTAAAATAAATCAATGTGACATTTAGTACTTACTAAAATCTTCATGTCCTTGTGGTCCGCAGATTCGATACTAACCTAAAACAAAAGACAGTTTGCTTTAATTTTTTAGAGGAGATATGTTTTTTAGACACGAATAAACGATTACTTCGGAATTACTTCGAGGTTTTAACATCTAAGATTTAAAAAAAATCACGTTCAGTCGGATTAAACCTTTTTTTTTTAAAGTAGGTACTATTTTTAGCGATTGACAAGCATTTAAACGATTCAAAGATCATTTATCAATTGTTTTAACAATAAAAAATAGATATCAATCATTCTGTTTGCTGTTTATTCAGTTTTATAAACAATACGTACAGGAGACTAATTCGCGTATAATGCAATCGAAAGTTCGTTAAGCGAGCGAGCCCACGCCCATCGCCTATCCGTCCTACACATATAAAAACTAAAACTAATTAGAAAGTCCCTAAAAAGTTAATATCATAAGTCGGCGTGTACACACGAGCGAATTTAATTTGGAGCGTTTTTAATTATGGCGGGAGATTCGTTCGTGGGGCCGGTTTCGGCGCCGCGGCTCCGGCCCTCTAATTATGGAGCCAGTAATAGCGAGGCCTGGAGTGGCCCCGCGTCCCTACCCGCAACCCACTCCACGATAGCTCTAGCCATCTACGCTGCGCTGACTAAATTAAGTTACATCCATTTTCAATGTTTTTGCTACTCAAAACAAACTCGTAAATGAAAATGGAATTTCTCTGATGAGTTTATGTTGATTCCGATTTTAAAAAACTACAAATTGAAATTTAAAAAAAATCCTCATTTAAGTTATGTTGATAAATACCTTACTCGTGGAAAACTTAGCTCTCAATCAAATAAATCTCCACTGTAAAGTCTGAAAGTATTACATTGAAATTACTACTTTTCGCCCGCGACTCCGTCCGCGTTGTAATAAAAAAACAAGAAAGAAGCCTGTGTGTTAGTCCAGACTATCATGTACATCTATGCGAAATTTCATTGATATCCTTTTAGCTGATTAGGCTACAAACTCTAATAATTCATCCATTTTGAACTTTCGCATTAAAATATTAAGTAAGATTACACAAAGAGCACTAGAATTGTTGCTTAAACATTGTGCAACAAAGAAGACATATCTATAACGCGTTAATAGATATTGTACATTATGCAACACTTAATAGCAGTTCTAATAGAGAGTAATTGCCCTTCAATGTAGCGCATTCGACTGTTCGCTGTCCAACATAGTTTAAAAGGATTGTATTTAATTACGATGACTCGTATCTTGTCAGCCAAAAAATATGTTTTAAGACCGCATTATAATAATTATAGATTCAGTCAATAACTACCACTACTTACCGTTTATGATTTCTATCAGTAAAACAAACTAAAGCAACTGTAATATAAAGGCGCCTTCGAAATGCACTGTCTGGCGATTAGTCATTACTTTCATAGCTATACTATTTATTGTTAAAACCAAGTGTACGATTACACACACATATTATGCTATAGCTTTCGCCCGCGGCTAAGTCTGCGTGAAATATAAAATAAACAAAAGTAAGTGGCCTATGTGTTCTTCCAGGCTATCCTCTACATCTACACAAAATTTCATCAAAATCCGTTCAGCCGTTTAGCCTACAAACTCTAACAGACATCTATCCATCCATCCATCTAAACTTTCACATTTATAATGTTAGTATTAGTATGATTAAGTATTTTAACATTTAAATTCAGTATTATTGGACAACACTATAAAATTTTGAAGATTCAAAAACCGCTAAAGCATTGCGCGAGAGCAGCGAATTCATATATGATTTTTTTCCGAGACTTGAGAAATAGAGATTTCCAGTAGGTGTGAATTTCTATTGACAAGTAAATGTTCCTCCAATTGTCCAATCCAAAAAATACTGAAATCTTGGTTAATTTTGTCATTGATATTATCAATTATATTTTATGAGTAAAAGACATTTTAGTTATATCGCACATACTTGCAAGTAAAAGATATATTAAGTTATCGCGGCCACACTTGAAGATATAACATAAAACATTCAAGTAAATTAGTTCATACTTAAGAATATTTCCACGTAAAGGCAAAATTATTAATACCTTAATTTTGTAAAACTTAAAACTTTGTAAAACACCCCTTCAAAAAAAAAGAAACATTTTCAATAATACACAAAATTAATAAGCCAATGCAGTTTCCATTACACAAATAATTCAATCATTTCGATTATTTGCAACTGAATAACGACAAAGCAAGAATAAGTACAAAGGAAAGGGAACAGACGACGTGAGTGGACCCCGGGAGGTGTTTGTGCGTTGTAATCATACCTAATCACACCAATTAGATATTTTTATTCCCATTACACCTTTGTGTAAGCCCGAGGTGTGCTTTGTTTGATTATTTTTGTCGAGTGCCTTTTGTACAATTATTAACGTCGTGGAGATGTGAAATGTTTGAGATCCCTAATTTGTGAAAGGAATAATAGAAATTTTACTATGTGAAATTTAATTATGTGTTTCTGTGGTACGCTTTAGTATATTTCATTATTATATAGGTTTTAAAAATACCAGAACAGAATTAGTTTTAACTGATATTGTAACTGTTAAAAATTACTACCATTTCAAATTTTCAATTTAAATATTAAAATTAATATTTTCAAATAATGTAAAAACAGTTTAGAGAATTCTTTTCAGGATAATTTTAAACAGTGACTCTTTTGATAATGCTATTTATGCTAAGTTCAAAATGTTACAAGAAATAAATTATACATTTAAACGTGTTAATTATTTGAATAACATCAATAGAATATTAGCAAAATTGATGTAGCGGTTTTTCTCATGCGGACTTAAATTTCTTATTAGAAAATCAGACAAGAGTTTCGAGTTAAATTAATTTTGAACTTTTTCATCTTAAATATTAATGTTGCTAAGAAAAGGTCAAAGTAATAATGTTGATTTTCATATGTTTTTAATTATTAACGATTCATTAAAGCGGTACATTCAGTAGGAAGCTCTTAGGAACATATACGAACTACTGTTTCGAAAGGGATATTAACTTTGATTTTAGACATTAAAAACATTTTTAAATTATAATTGTCTTAATTTTGTTTAGATATATTAGTATAATTACCTCATTGAAGTAATTATTGTTGGCATTGTGTGGTGCGGGGTGCGGGCCCCCTGGCTGCTGGTAGTACGCGCAGTTCATGGCCCATGAATTCCAATACGACAGAGCCTCACTCTACCTTCACTCGATCACACGCGACAATATTTTATATCATTTGTAAAAAATCCACGGAGCAATTATCTCGTAACGAATCGATGCGGCGAACGAATCTCGCCTACTAATTGCCAGGTTCGGGGCCTCGCGGGCCGCGGTCGCTATCCCACTCACACACGCACCGTCTCTCTCGCTCTGGTATGGTGGTGAGTGCGTGGTGCGCGGACCGATGCGTGGTTTGTTTACTTTGGGCGGCGCGAACTTAGGGCGGCCGCTTAGGGCGGAACCTTTATCGCGCACGCAAATACTAATGTACATCGAAAACGCACTTAATTCACTTGTAATGAAACCTTTAAAAGCTAATGTGTTGGGAAATAAATTTGTATTTCATAGGATACTAGATAGCTTTTACTGGTAAAATTAGATTTGGAGCAATGTTCAATGAACTCTTATATTGTTACAAAGTCACAGCAGTTGTAGAACGGTTTGATACAACTTTCCTACAGCATCTAAAGTGGCACATTCATTTAAAGAATATGTATAGCTTAATTGACATTCATAAAAAACGGTTTCATATTAAATTAAAACGCACAAATGTAACCTTTTGGAAGTACAGTCACGAACATTTTCATCCCGCAATGGTTTTAAATGTTTCCGGTTTGTAATAAAGTACATTGTGATCGTTACCCCGGCGACTATTATAAAAATTGGTCCATTTTTTACGTATACAATCTGTGCGGGGGCGGATACCACTCATATAACAGGATGCACTTTCCTTTTACACTATTGATATCACGCGAAATATGATCACGTGATACACTAACAGATGTTCACACAATTTATAGATAACGTGTTTTTTACTTTATTTTTTTTTTGGAAGATATGGTTGGCTGGCTGGATGGATTATTTTATATACAATGGTATAAAAATTTAAATAGAGACGTCGTCAACTATTCACGATGATATAACTTTGTTAAAAAATAGAACAAAACTATCTGTCTAGTTTTAATTTTCAAATACTTGAATTTATATTAATTATATCGCTTATATCGATTCCAACCTTAACTATTCATATCCGATTGTTTGATTCTTACCATTTTTTTTTCGGCTTATATGTTCAGGGGTATTGTACCATTAGTCGTAGCTACATAAGTAATGTTTTGTATGGAATATAGAATAACATGTGCAAATGTCAGTGATTAGTGCGGGCGTGGGCGCGGCGCGTGCGCACGTAATCATTGTAATACTGCGCCGCGACGCTCCCGCGGCGCTCCCTTCATAACTCAGTGTTGTTCTGTTATTTTTACTATTTCAATAGCGTTTTGTGTTAAAAGACCCATATACTTCATTATTATGTGAAAACTTCAACGATCTTTAACGTTGTAAAAAATACTTTCATACCTCAAGACATTTTATAGTCACTTAAGCTGATAATTAGTGTAATTTTATAGTTTAGGTCCACGCGAAAAGTACCCCTCCTAGCATTTTAAAGTCTCTGAATGTAATTAGTCTAACATAGTAGATTTTTATTTATTTTGAATTACTTTCTTTTATATTTACTTCAGTTTTGATGCTTAGGGGTGTTTCAGTGTCTCAGCTTTTAATAAGAATGTAACTTAAGAAAAATAAGTTAGTCGCGTAACTAGTCACTATGTTGTGATCAATCTAGTTGGTCCAAGTCCCTCACACATAAATAGTTAACAGGACTAAGAACATTATAAATAATAACTTTGGACTATACCGTTTAACTGCAGTTTTCTATAAAAGACGTAAGCTACATAATGATGTTGACATTATTACTAAAAACCAGTTTTTGCGAAATCGTTTCAGCCTCATTAAATATTTA